AGATGGATGGTGAGTAGTGAGAGGCCTTATTGAGATGGATGGCCCGTCACATTGCTTAGGATAGAGAGAGGACATAGTGGGTGTGTAACACTACTTTTCCTATTAGAAAGGCAACCCTGAGCTTCGCAGAAAATTTCTTCTGGTCTATTGTACGTACTAGGTTGTCTCCTACACAGGTGGACAACGTGGTGACTTGGGATAGAGCTGTGACGCTAGGAACAATAATGGCGGGGCTTCAGCTTGACTTCTCTAGCATTTCTGATAGCTGAGATAAATGGGAGGTAATTCAAGACTACCACCACATTGTCTTTCCTTTGTCTCATTTTTCAGCTATAGAGGGAGTCTACAGTGCCCATTGGGCATTGTAACAGATTGATAGAGGAGACGAACACTGTTGATGTCTTCCTCATTCGAGATGATGCTAACCCTGCAACACTGAGGAAGGGACCATAGGCTGACCTACATCCTTTGGGTGCTGATCTGGCCAAAGATGTAGAGCAAATTGAGGTTGAGCAGGTTGTTGATACTACCATGTCTGACACTACATAAGAGGCACAGGCTCCCCCCTTCATTTCCACTAGTTATGTCGCTAGCTCTTCACGAGCCACCACCTTTTTGGTGTCTACTTTTGTACCTCTTTCCCAAGTCAAGAAATTGGAGACCCAGATGGCTACACTTTTGCAGCACATGAGACCATGGATGCAAAGGTCCGTAGAGGAGTCCGAGGCTTGTATGGAGAGGATGATGGATGTGAAGATTCAGGCAGTCCACAAGCGGTTAGATGCGTTCGATCGTAGAGTATTGGAGAGCCCTAGGCCTACTATTGATTTCACTACTTTCCAGATGGAGTTGACTAGGCTCCGATATGATGTTGATGCCCTCCTTTCCTCTTGTGAGGATGTCCCTGAGCCCACACCTAAAGTTGAGGTAGATAATGTGGTAATGACTGTAATTTTTAGTCATGCGATGCCACCACCTGACCCTTCTCGTGCGACTGGGAACCGCACCTTCTCTTCTGTGCATACTCCAAATGCCGATGAGGCCCGACGAACTAGGAATAGAGAGAGAGGCAACAATTCAAGGTAGCATAGAGACAATCTCGTTTGAGGAGGCTGCAACAGTGGATAGCTCGTGAGATGGCATCTATAGGTGCATCTTATTTTACGAGCACTACTGATGGTGTTCCCATTATTGATGAGGGCGCTACTAAGGGCGTCACCATTGATGATTCAGCGTGTTGAGGGAAACCGGACCCACTCGCCTCTTGCTGGGTCATCGGTGTTTACGCGCTACAGGTTTTCTTCTCCCTTTGTCTTTATTTTTTTTGTGCATTGAGGGCGATTGTACCATTTTTTCGTTGGGGTGGGGTAAATTGGGAGTGAGTTGTAGCGTGAAGTCTGAGTAACCCAACTTATAACTCTCTCTTAGGGTTTTGTTGATAGTGTTGTTTCCCCCCAAGGGACTTTTTTACTTTTTTGTTGAATCGGAATGTTTAGGATTGTATAAGTATTGAAGTAGACCAAATGAATGAAGCATGATGACATAAGTGCATCAAAAATGATATTTGTTCAAAACTTTGAACTACGCTATATTTATAGGCTTAATAAGTTGAATGTGTTGGATCTGCCTGTGACATGATAGGAACCGGTATGCTAGCATGACTTAAGCTAGAACTTGAATTAGATGCTTCAATGATTCAATAATAAAATAATGTGCCAAGTGTGTGTGAGGTGATTGTGCATAAGTCAGTACAATGTGTTCCAATATAGAACTTGCCCCGTTGGTCCTGCTAAGATAATCTAGGCTTGAAATTGGGAAATGATAATAGGCCCTTGTTGATAATAAGTCCACTTAAGCCTAAAAAAATCCAACCAAAAGAAATAAATGCTCTCTCCGAACAAAATGTTTCAGCCTAATAGATACAACTTCTTTCAATACACCTAACTCGCCTTCCCTAAAAATATCTATTTTGGCCTTGGTCCCTCCTTGGACATTGTGCACCTTAACTTAGGAAAAAAGCCTAAATTGAGGGTGGCTAATTCAAAATTCACCTTAATAATGGCCCTGGTCCGACCTAGGACATCATGCACCTCAACTCATGCAAAATACATAAGTTGAGGGTGGCTATGAAGAAAGAAATTGAAATAAAACGGTATGAAAAGAGTTGTTTGTAGAATAAGGAAAAGATAGTGAAAGGTGTGATTAAATCCAAAAGAAACAATAGAGTGATAATAATGCTGAATAAGAAAGAAAAAAGGAGAAAAAGAAAAAAAAGGAATGGAATAAAAAATAAATTAAAGTCACATTTGTGCTGAAATAAGTGAAGGTAAAGAGAAGAAAACAAAATGATGTTAGAATTGGTTGTAGAAAGAGGTAAAATAGCCAATGTAATGTCATGGAGGGCAGAAAAGTCACTAAAATACCCAAATGTACCATACCTGACCCTGAGCCTACGTTACAAGCTAACAAATCCCTATTGTGATCCTAGTTGACCAGTCTGGAAAGTCTATGCAGCGAAAATAAGGGCAAGCCTATGCCATTGAGCACTAACTGTATTTGAATTCACTTCTGAGCATGAGTGTTTACTGAATCCTTAAGCTAAAATATCAGAGTTTGTGTGAGAAAAAAGATTTCTATGTGGTAACGACACTAGTTACATTGTTGGAAAGTTGGTATCTTGGTGATTGTTGAAAGTGTATGTAGTGATATCTATTTGTCTGTCTATGTCATGATTTGATCCACATGAGTTAGCTTGTTGAGTCTAAATGAGAGGATTTGCACTACGTGAAAAAGTTGACAAAAAAGTCGTGTGATTGCTTGAGTTTGTGTGTTTTCTTCTGCATGAGTGTCATTTTGAGTTTAGTGTGTCACTTGAGGACAAGCAACAATTTTAAGTTGAGGGTGTTGATGTACCATGATTTTATGGTATTTTTATATGCATTTCACTTGAAGTTTGTGTGTCTAAGGCATTTTTGTTATTAGATATGATGGTTTTTTGTCTCAATTTGTAGGAAATCGATTTAAAGCAGTTGTCGTTGAAAAGAGCTGAAACTACAAAAATTTGGCAACCCACGATCTTTCACTCAGCTGACAAGCCATAGGTGGAACCCGTGGGTCAGTGGTGCAAGGAAGTCTAACTTAAGTGTGGAACCACATAGGCAACCGATGACCCGTAGCTTGAGTGAAAGACCATCGATGGGAGCCGTCGTTTGATTTAGAAAAATGAGTTCTAGTACTTGAAAATGGATCGTGACTGGAACTACAAAATGCAGGTGGTAACTATCGATGAGAAGGCCAAGACTTTTCACCAGTTGCTGAACCACGGAGGTCACCCACGGACCATTTGTTGATCCACGGTCCATCGTTGGCCACTGTTGGTCAAAACTGCCAAAATCAGATTTTCCTTATTTTCGTTTCCTACTTCTATTAGGACTTGAGTACTATAAATATAAGTTGTAATTTATGTTTCTAAGGGTTAGACCCTTTTGGAGACTATTGAATTGAGCACTTGGAATTACTTTGCAAACAATTTAGCAATTTAATTCTTGAAGCTCGTTTATGTAATTTGCTTTTGATTTTCAATTCAAGATTTTGGTTTTCATCTATTCTAATTGTAAGTTCATAATTTATCTTATTAACCCTAATATGAATTGTGAATTCTCAAGCATGAGTATCTAAATCCACAACTAGGGTTGTGGGAACCAAGCGCAATTAACAATGTACGAATAATAAATAAGTAATTCTAGAATAGTGTATGCATGTGTTGTTAATCCTTTAATTAGAATGCTTTCTAGTGGTGTGCAACGTTAAAACTAGTCTCATTCCTACTTGCCGGACCAAGGAAGTAGTGAACGAGAAAAGGATTGAACAACAGAGCTTTAGTTGAGTTTAGCCACTATCTAATAGCCTAACCTTAATCAACTGATGTGAAGGCTAATTTAGGGTTAAAGGTAAGGGTTAGTAAAGCACACACCCGTAGACAGACCAAGTTGTATGGTGAAATTCTCTATTTGGAGGACCAATCATTTAAATATAGATAACTTATCAACCTTGCATGCTAGCACTAGGATAGAGTTACTATTATTAGGAATATTGCGTTAATAGCTTGTGGTAAACAAGTATGCCCTAATTTTCATCTCATATTGATATCTCAAACTATAGTAATACAAATCAACAAACTGTTATTTTATTCAAAAAACCCCCCTTGTTACTTTTCTTGGAAATCAGTTGACTAAACATAGATAATCGTAAGTTAGCCTAAGTTTGAACCATATTCCTCGTGGGATCGACCCTAACCTAAAAGTTAGGTTCTTTATTTGACAACAACCGCTTATACTTCTTTTGGGAGGTGTAATTTGGGCGTATCAAATTTAAATCACTGAAGGACGAATTCGTGATGAGTTTTCCAATGAGCAGTTGATGGCCTTGGATATCACTCAATTTCCCTGGTACAGTGATATTGTTAACTTGTTGATAAGCAGAGTGTTTCCACCTGGACCAACCACTCAAGAAAATAAGAAGTTGATCCATGGTGCTAGATTTTACATATGGGTAAGTCATTCCTCTTCAAGCAAGGTGCAGACAAAATGGGAAGGGGATATATTTCGGAGAATGAAGTTAAGCAGGAGCTAGATAGTTGCCACTCATCACCTTATTGAGGTCATCAGGGAGGTGGGTGCACTGCCCACAAAGTGTTTCAATCTAGATTCTTTTGGTCGACTTTGTTCAAAGATTCCACGTACTATGTGAAGGAATATGACCGATGCCAGAGGATGTGGACCATTTAGAGAAGATATGAGATGACGTTGAACAACATTCTAGAGGTTGAAATATTTGACGTATGGGGAATCAATTTTATGGGCCCCTTCCCACCGTCTAATGAAATCCAGTACATTCTATTGGAAGTCGATTATGTGTCTAAGTAGGTTGTAGCTCTTCCCATCAATCATTTGAACGTTGCAATAAAGTTCATTAACACTTTGTTTGGATGGTTGTTACGTATTGTTTCATATTGTATTGTATTTTATTGTATCATACTGTACTGTTTAATGAATACAATGTTTGGATAAATTGTATCATTCTCAGTCATTACAGAATGTCACACATTCATAACCTGAGTGATAAACCTACAAGAAACGTAGGGTACGTGATAGAGCTATTATGAAAAGGTATGGTAGAAGATGAATTATGATTATTAAATAATAAATAAAGATAAAATAAGAAGAAAGTATTAACGTAACAACGTGATCATACCAAATCAGTTGTTATATAAAATGGGTCTTTTCGTTGTGACCTAACGATTGATTGAAACGTTATGATACAGTAAAATTTAAGTAACAATCAAAACAAACATTTTATTAAAACTAACAATACAATACAATACAACAAGTAGCAACCATCCAAAGAAGGTTTAAGAAACACATATTCACTAGGTTTAGAACTCCAAGAGCTAATATTGGTGATGAAGGGTCACACTTCATTAATCATTGGGTTAAAAATTTGTTTGCTATGTATGAGATTTGATACAAGGTTGCTACAATATACCACCCACATGAAAATGTCTAAGTATAGATGTCAAACAGAGAATGGAAGCAGATTCTGCAAAAGACTTTGAATGCACAAAGAAGGGATTGGTATGTGAAGCTTGGTGATGCACTATGTTCGTACAAAACATCTTAAAAACACCAACTGGGACTTCTTCCTGCCACATTTTATTTGGTAAGTCTTGCCATCTTGTAACAAAATTATAACATCACGCCTATTGGGTGATTAAGAAGCTGAATCTTGACCCTGAGTTAACCTGTAAGAAGAGAATACAGAAGTTGCACAAACTTGAAGATCTTAGGCTCTATGCTTGATAACAATCAATTACCTGTCATAGGAATCAAAGTGTAAGCGGTCACTAGCAATATAATAACCTAACTTATGAGGCCGGGGTCGAATCACACAAGGAAGAAGGTGTCGACAATTGAAAGATAAAGAATTATAAGATACAAGTATGAATTGAAACAAAAATGACATAATTATAATATATAGATCATTTTAGTAACAATCATAGATACGGGAAAGGTTTTCTCAAGCAAGGAATTAAAGGTAAATAAGTAATGGGGAGATAATTAACAATCACAAGACTCATTGCACCTTAATATCATGCAAACTCATTCATGGGTAAAATCATATATGCCATTGAAACCTATATATCCACCTACTACTAGTTCTATCAAACCTAGCTACGTAGCAATAATGGTGGATGCAGAAATTTTATATCATGGGTGACCAATTATTTTTAATTAGAAAATTGCTTTATAGAATAGGTGCTTAATTAATATATTTGAATAAGTGATTGGATATTATAGACAAATAATAGTGTTTATTATAAAGAGCAATGGGAGCTAAATCACCCATAACATATAGCATACGTCAACTAATGAGTAGCAACACAATCAATCCAATTATAGGCATGACATGGATTCACTATTTCTTGCTATAATCCGAAGTATTAGGTGTTACACCTCAAATTATGCATTAATCAACCTTTCCCAACGTCAATTGACCCTTCCAAGCTCAATCAAAGTAAATGAGAAAGTCCAAGGAGTGATCAAATCCATAGGAAAACATGTAAAACATGAAATTGATTAGATAATCAAATACTCATTTCAGAAATGAGAAACATTCAATTAAATACAAAAGCTAAAGATGTCTATTAACATAAATAACACACAAGTTCTAATGATCAATTACACCTACAAGTCAAGCAACAAAATAAAGAAAGAGTGAAAATTATTACAATGGAGTATTCAATCTTCAATCCAAAACGTGCATTGTGAGAATCTTATTATCCAAGCCTAAAACCCAATCTAAGACTATCAAATATGCACAAAGGTTGTGCGTGGGTGTCAAATAGGATTTTGGGATCAAAATGGTGAACTTCTACTTCTGCCTAGACGTCTGTCAGTTGCTCTTCATGTTCACGATGGGTCACGAGTCTATATCTTATGATCGCGACCGTTAACCATGCAATCAAGATGCGTGGGTTCTCAGTCAACCGCGATTGCGACCCTTTGACCATGCGATCGCGATGCCTTAAATCATGTCAGTGTGAAATTTGAACTTTTTGTCTTCTTTTTGCCTCAATTTCACTTGGTTTAGTCAATTATCTTCTAAATCAACTCTTTACTTCATTTTTATGCAAACATGAAGAAAAAACACCAAATGCACCTATTCTTGCTTAAACAAGTCAAAAAAATAAGCTTTAAAGACAAGATAAATTGGTAAAAAGACCGACTTATCAACATCCCCAAACTTAAATCGTTGTTTTTCCTCAAGCAAGCAACATCAAGAACTTACTCAATTCAAGCACACCAATCATCCCTTAAGCACAAAGAACATGAGTTCAGTTAGTACTATCAAATTGTCACCACATGCAAAACATCACAAAAACAACTACCCTCATTCTCATATCACGTTTTTAAGAACCATGAATAATCAAGTGACAATAACTAAATCTAAAGAAGTGACTTAAAATAATTGGTTCCTTCACATACTCATTTGATTCATTTAGGACTTTTCAAAATCACCACTATCTAAATTTACATGCCCTCACAAGAAAGAAGATGTCCTAAAATTACTCAAACAATTATTAACAAGACAAGGGACAAAAGCACAAACACTCACACTCACACTCACAAAGAACATCTCATGAACATAAATACCTCATCATAGCCGTTCCAATATTTTTAATCATCATTGGCTCAAAAGCATTCTATTGGAGATCACAAAGAATTTTTATCATCCTTGTAATGTAGGCTTAGGGAAGGTTAGGATAACATTTGGATAAAAGTGTCACGACCCAAAGTACACCCTAGACGTGACATGGCACGTACAAGACCCCCATAAGAACCTTTATAAGCCACTTGACATACATTCAATACAATATAATAGATAAATGTAAAAAATCTCATATAAAGGGGAACGTTTGAGACTACAGCAAAAGTTTAACATAGTCTTGACAAGCCTTTCTACAACATCAAAGGAAGTGGTCGGGACCTAACCCGTGCACCACATACAACATCTAAAACATAAAGACATAAGAAAGCAATAAAGGTGACATCGTCCTCGAAGTATGAGGACTCACGAAGTCTTCAAGTATCTAAAGTGATCAAGTAGCCATGAACTAAGGGAGAGGAGTCGTCAAGCCCTGCATTAGTGAAACAATGTAGGCACAAGTATGCATTAGTACATGGAATGTGCTAAGTATAAGGGATATTCATAAAACATGAATCATGATGAAAGAGGACATAATCGAAACATGAAATGCATGACGAAGATAAACATCGTAAAAGCCCTTAGATAAGCATCATAAAACTTGAACAATGTCTACGCATGTTAAATCAAAGGAATGTTTCACAAACCGACATAGACCACGTGAGCTTTAATGTGTAATATGGTGTCTTTCTCCCACACTAAAAAAAGATGTCCTTACTTGCCAAGGCAAGGACCTTAACTTTTAGCTTAGGTGGATCCACTAGCTATGTCACTTAAGACAACGTATAGGGGCACGTAGTTAAGGAAAAAGAGATTTCTACTAGAGACCTAACCTCTACTAATGAGAGAGCCTCCATCTCAATGTCCTGTCAGTGCTAAGTAAAATCCCGACGGAATTAGTCATAATTATAAGCATATCATTATCCCTGGAAAACCCAATCAAGTTACTAATCAAAGCTAAAAGTATCATAGAATAGCTCCATAAATCTTGAATCGGGTCTATGTGAAAAAACCTTTTACCAAACCATGATCCCTTAATGTGAGAAAACCTTTCACAATTTAGTTGATGCAATTGTTAAAGCAAACCTAGATCATAAGACATTCTTTTTTACCAATCATGCATAAGTACATGAAAACATCAATCATTGATTCATAGCCTTTCTTCAAATTCATGCAAATTAGTATTCATAGTCAAAAATCATGTATTATGCATGGATTCATATGGAATTGATTGGAAAGCATGGAATTAAGTTAAAACAATCATAATGTGATCAAAATCAAACAATTGAATCCATACAAATAGAATACATGAGGAATACATACAAATTTGGAAAATTGAATTTGAGAATTGGAAAATCTTTGGGACTCAATGGGTGAATGTAACTCAATTATGAACTCCCTACATAACTTGATCTTGAAGCCCAAAGAAGTTGATGGAGAAAGGATATTTGTACTTGAAGAACCCTAAAATCCCTTGTGAGCCTTGGAGAAAATTGGGTAAGATGAATTTGGTTGGGATTTGGGAATTTGGGAATTTGTTTTATGAGTGGGTAGTTTGAGGACATGAAAAACATATATAGGGCTTAGAATTTGGGTCAAAACGACATACCTTAGGCATTGAACACATAGGAAAATACCCAAATACCCTCAAGAAATAACTGTTGGACCTAGTCTACGTAATGGACCTATGGTCCGTAGGAATTTCGACGGACAGTACTGGTCAACCATAGACCAAAGTGTTGGAACCTTAAATGATAGGGAATTACCCTCCCTTTCTACATCAGACACCACCTAACTCGACTCCAGATGCATCACAATAAATGATGAAGTCAACACCCTTCTCGGGTAAAGTCAAAACATGAGCCGAAATCAACAAGGTCTTAAGCTTTTGAAAGCTCTCCTAACACTCATCAGACCATTCGAAGCTCACACTATATCGAGTCAATCTGGTAAAAGGAGATGCAATAGTGGAAAAGGTCTTCACAAATCATCTTTAGTAGCCTGCAGGTCCAAAAAAACTTCGTGTCTCAGTAGTTGACATAGATCTGGTCCAATGTCTAACTGCCTCAATCTTTGCTGGGTCTACTCTAATATCCTCTTTGGACACCACACGTCCCAAAATTTCCACAGAATCAAGTCAAAGCTCGCACTTTGAGAACTTGTTATAAAAATGCTCATCCCTCAATCGATGGAGTACAATCCTCAAATGCAGATCATGATATTTCTCAGTTATAGAGTACACCAAGATGTCATCAAAGAACACTATCACAAAGGAATCCAGATAAGGTCGGAACACCCCGCTCATCAACTCCATGAAAGCTACATGGGCGTTCGTCAAACTGAAAAACATCACAAGAAACTCATAGTGCCCATAACAGGTTCTAAAATTTGTGTTAGGGATATCTAATACTCTAATATTCAGCTGGTGACAACCAGACCTGAAATCAATCTTAGAAAATAGAGATAAACCCTGATTAAAAAAATCATCGAAATGAGAAAGATGATACTTGTTCTTCAATGTCACTTTTTTCAACTGTGATAATCAATACACATCCTTATGGATCAATCCTTTTTCATCACAAGCAATAGAGAAGCTCTCATTGAGAAATATGAGGGCGAATAAACCCCTTACTCAACAAATCATGTAACTGATCTTTCAATTCCTTCAACTCAACTAGAGCCATACAATAAAGAGGATTAGAGATGGGATTGGTTCCCGTCTCCAAGTCAATCAAAAAATCAATATCCATGTCGGGAGGAACACCAGGAAGATTAGTAGGAAATATATCTAAAAAATCTCAAACCACGGGCATGGAATACATGGAAGGTGGCTCAACACTAGTATTCCAAATGAAGTCCAAATAGGACAAACAACCTCTATCAACCAAACTCTAAGCTCGAATGAAGGAGATAACTTTCCTAGGGTAAGAACCACTAGCATCCATCTACTCAACTCTCGGGACACCCGGAAGCACTGAGGTCACAGCCTTAGCATGATAATCAAGAATAGCATGATGCGGAGAAATTCTATCCATACCAAAGATAATATCAGAGTCTACCATCGCCAGAATGATCAATTCTATCCAAGTATCATACTCCACCAAAGAAACAAGACATGATTGATACATTCGATCCACTACTAAGGACTCACCCACTAGTGTAGAAACATGACTTAGTTTATCTAGAGGGAAGGTGTCGAGGATGAGTGCCACAATTTATAACCACCAAGGATGCCATATTAGGTAAGTTAGTTTGTTGAGGTGACTAAGACCAAGGCACAAAACAGTTTCCATGGACCTATGATCTCTACTCTGATCGCCGGCTGGGAATGATAGTTGGATAGGTCAAATACTTGGTAGAAACAACGTATCTTTCTCAAAAAAGAAAAAAATGAAAAGATGTGTCCTTCTTCCTTCTTCAATTCTTGTAAATTACATTTGAAGATTCTTGTGAAGATTTATTCTTTGAAAACCGAACAGTTGTAATAAGTACGATTTTAGGCTATGGCTTTATATGGTGTAGCTCGGCTTTGTTTGTGATTTTACACTTTTTGACTAGTGAAACAAATTCAATGATCCTGCATACTACGTGTTTGATTACATCCACTTTGAGACTCACTAGATCCAATCTCCATAAATCTAAAATAGAAAGAGTATAAATAAGATAAATAATCAATAATCTTAAAGCAAAAAAAAAATGTAATATTAAATTTTAGCAAATCGATTATTAAATAGAACTTGAATAACGAATTGCATAGCATATTGGGGGAATAATGCGTGTGATGAGTCAATAACAGATTCTAATTTCAAGGATCGAATTGAAGGAAAATTTAGGTATCATGAAGTGAACCCAACTAAGAAAAATATCCAGAATAATGTACAAAAAGTCTTACTAGTTTACTTAATAATATCATAAGGTCTAGTTGAGACATTATATCATCCATGGTAAGAAAATCATTTTCCCAGCAAAAGAAAATTCTAGCTCAGTTAACAAGTTTTTCCAGGTATGTGGGATTAGCTGAAAATTTTCAATGGCATTCTCGGTTCCCTTTTCTATCTTGAGAAATTGATAGTAAGCCAGAAAGGTTCGGTTATCTTTACCATGATTTAAGAGGTTATCTTAATCAGATAATTATTGACCTTTATATCATTATGAGACAAACTACATTCTTCTTCTATTAGAGGTGAGCCGAGTCCGATATAATATAACTAATTTAAAGTATAGTGACATCAGTAGGTATGGTTGAGATATTTTTATAATTTCATAGTTTTTTCATATTCAATATTAGGTGTTTGATTATTTTATAAGATTAATTATGAATACTTCAGAGCATGACATATCATGACAATGGGGATTACACTTTCTGCAAAAAACTCAAATATATATTATTAACAATGAGCAAACTTACGTACACATCATGCAACATATATCACACCAAATAGTTTTATTTATTCATAAAGAGATTTATGAAATACATAATACATCATCATACTTGTGAAACATTTATCACACAAATAGTCTTATTTATTCGTAAGGATTTAGGATAGTAATAATACATCATCTTGCTATTGGGAATGGGGACTGAGATCTATTTTCCGACATGGTGAGTCGCAATGTCCTTGGTGAGGCCAATAATGAACTCCATAAAGTCAAGGGGCTCCGGAATATTTTCATTCAATTTCTCATACATAATAGTCCAAGTAAGCCAGTTTTCCTTTACGGTTAATGTAAGTTTCATTGAGTTGTATAATTCATTCATATGTCCTTCAATAAAATGGTAGGTGATTGATTTTTCTGCATCATCTATGTGAAAGACCTGTTTGGCATGCCGCTCTTTCCCCCCTGATCATATTAAGGACACAATTTAAGTTCATACATGACTATGACACTATATATACTCACTTAAGTTAATGTAATAAAACAACCATTGAAATATATTTTAATTTTAAAATAACGATATAATAAAAAAAATGCTCTGTGTTCTTTCGCATTTTAATTTTGGGTTTTTACTCTAAATAAACATTGATATTTCCTCAGTCCTTTTAGTATATTGTAACTATTTGAGGAATGATTTTTTTTTGTTTGATTATGATCTCTTGGTCTCTGTTAAAATTCTTTTGAATTATTAATTATATACTTTATACTCTTTCATCTATTGAAAATTAGGTGTTCTCACTTTTGATCTCCCAGCCTTTAATTATATAAAATGATGTGAACCAAAGTCAACCTTTAGAATACTTGTAAAGCCAACTTTTCATGATATCCTTTCTCTATTTCTTTTGCTTTTACGCCTTATTTGTATGAAAATATGTGGAATACATTACAGAAGAACAAAATAAAAAAGGGAAAGAGAGCTAATTAATCGGTCACTTCTACCAAAGACAATTGAAAAATGGAATGATATAAGAGGCTTACCAAGGATATATTTCCAGCTAATAACAGAGTTAGTTTTTCCCAATTGACCATCATGCAATGTGAAGTTAGTTACTCTATCAGGAGACATGGTGGATGTTTGGTGTGGATTTGATTTGAAGTGCTCATGAAGCAAATCTCCTGCACACTTCATCTCTATTTGAGCAATCAACTTACCTTTCAAACTCATTTCTTAGAAGTGAGTGAGATTTTCTTACAAGAGAAGGTTTACAAATTTAGCGAGATACACACAAACTTTATATAGTGTGTGATTTTTGTAGCTAGTTGAAATTCGTGTATCATTTTTACCCCTGAATATTGAAGAATATGGTCCATTTTGTATAGCTGAGGTTACAATATTTATGCACGAAAAATACATAGTTAAAACGTAGAATACATATCTCACCTTCCTCCATGTTCATTTAGAACTTGAAAATTTTAATTTAAATGGTTTCAGATATTCCTAATATTTTACAATTACATACAGTCGAAACAAATCATAGGTATACAAAATAAACTCCTTCAAAAATATATATAACTTAGATAACAATATGAAAATACTAGAATCGTGTTTTGACAAAATTTCCCTTTTCCCCCGTTGGTTAATGACCTGTCATAATATATTGATTTCAGATATTTTACATGAATATTCATAACTACAAATTGTCTAGTCCATAAAAATTGTTCCTCCCTCTGTTTTAATTTTGTTGTTTTACTTTCCGTTTTAGTTAGTTTTCAAAAAGAAATTTATTTCCTTTTAAACAACTCTTTAATCTCAACTTTCCATTTTATATATTTAACATATTTTTAATTTAAAGGTACAAGTTATAAAAGTTTGTTTTTACTTTTAAAACCCCGTTCCTAATAGAAATAGGATAAATAAATTGAAACTTCAAAGTATTACGTTGGAATGTTGTCCGCACAAAATACATACTAACTCTTGATATATCTTCAATATTTTATCTAGCTAAATAATTTACCATTGAAGCTAAGTTTAAAAATTGTGACTTTTAATAGTAGATTTCTTACATAGCTCTAGGTAGCCATGCGAAAAGTTGAAAAATGGATTTGAGGGTTTTCTCTAATCCTATATAGTGGGCGAGCATAGTTTGGGCAAACGAAAATCCAAATCTAAATTCAATTTTTTTGATATTTTGTTTGAATTTTTGGATTATAATTGGACTTTGGATTTTACTTTCAAAACTTATGAATTTCAAATTATATAACAGATCCGGGCACTATGGATTTTTGGATATCCGAAAATCCTAAATATTATATCTTATATTCTATCCTACCTATCATTATGTCTATTTTGTGGGACAAAAAAAAGAAAAAGAGTAATGGTTTTAATAAATTTAGAAATTAGAGTCACAACCTAATTTTGGAAAAATTAGAAAACCTTTTAAATATTAAACAAATTTTGACTACAAAACCAATTAGATTCTAGGTAAGGGTTCAAGTTTGTCACGCCTCGAGCCTACACCCTGGATGCGGCTGTCACTCGAGAACCATTGCTGGCACCAAGCGAACCCTTGGCCTGGCTCAATTCTTAATGGAAGACTTACTCATAAAGAAGATGAACTCAAAAGTAACTTTACTCAACTGTAACAAAAGATAAAACTTGGAATATTTTATAAATAAAACATTCACTATCCAAAGCGGCAACTCAAGTCTGAAACATCAATAACTTGAATGAAAAAGACCCATACTATTGTCTATCTATGAAGCCTCTACTAACTGAGATGGATGTCGGGACAAGACCCTCGATCATCCTAACAAAACTGAAATAACATGACACAAATAAATGAGGGATCCTTCGGAAACAAGGAGGTTGTAACACCCTATATCCGAAAACAGACCTCAATTCAGATTTCCAGAAATTGCAGGTGCAACCCACGGACCGTAGGGTGACCCACGGCCCGTGCTGGTGGTCCGTGGTTCGCATCTGCAACCTTCCCAGACTCAGCCCCAAGATATTTGTCTAATGGTCGACCCACTGTCGGACCCATAGACCGTAGGTCAGACCACAGGCCGTGGCCCGCATCCATGGATCAGACCCCCAAATCCCAGCTTCCAGTCGCAAACGACGATTGACTAGCACGGACCGTCGGTCTACCCACGGTCCATCGGTCCCGTCCCGACAACAGTTAAGTCAGGGGTCTTTTGGTCTTTTCCTTATGCGTTAGACAGCCTACACTACGTCGTTTAAACCCTAAACTACGTAGTTTTGGTCAGTTTTAGCCTAGAAACACAACTAGAACTTACCTATGTCAAATCATTCATCAAAACTTAGAAACATTAGTGCGTAAGAGGAGAAAGAGGTCAAGAACGTAGCAGATTTTCATCCGTTTTTATCCTGAATCGAAAGATTTCTTCGTGGAATTCTTCATCAGGTATGTGAGATTTCACTAATGGGTTCCTTTCACCTATTAGGTCCCTAGATTTCAGTCAGAATCTTGATCCCCTTAATATTATCTAGACCTAAGGTTTCTTGAATGTTAGAATTGTTGGGTTTTATCTATTAGAATGATTCAAATCATATTACCATGTTGTAGTATTATTTTTGCCCAAATTCATGCATAAACTCAAAACTCTAGCTATGTAGTTCTTTTAGTTTATGAATTACACATGCTAGGTCAGTTAATTCAGTTATATATATAAATATGCCTCAGTTTTCGAATGCATTATTATCAGTATATTAATGTTGCGTTCTCAGTTTGCATGTCAGTATTTTGAGCTATCCAGTATTACAACATTTCAGTCATAAAGTGTTAATTACTTAATCAATTGGGAGAAGCTTAATACCGAGTGGACTAGGGTCAGTCACCCTCAAAGTCCCAGAACTACGTGCCTCGTAGGATAAGTTCGCTATGTTAGGCATTACATTTTAGGGATCATGCCAGCATGCCTGTATACCTCTAGCAGGGTATATTGGGTCCTCTAGATAGGGCGTATACATCGTACTCCACAGTTAGCTCATGTGGTTTTATGTCGGTTATTAGTAGCTCCCTTACAGTTCAGTCAGATTCTACTGCATTGACCATGTTATCAGTATAGTTCAGTATTCAGTGTCAGCATGTTATAAACTTTGTCATTGTATTCAGTTTAGCCATGTTTAGTATTTCCAGTATCTTTATCATGTTCAGATTATATCATTGCTTTATTGCTTGTTCAGTTATGTTATTATTCAACTTTATTATATCTTACATGCTCAGTACCTTTCAAGTACTGAGGCATACTCTGCGCTACATCTTCTCGTGATGTAGGTTTAGGTCCCAGCAGTCAGATCACGCATAGATCGATTCCCAATCTTTAGCTCAGCAACATCAGTGGTGAGTCCTCATTTTTCGAGGACTAGCGACATGATTATCTTTCCATTTTAGTTTTAGTTTTAGTTTTGCTAGATTTAGTTGGGGCATGTCCCAACATTTCTAGTCAGTTAGAGGCTATTGTCAAACATAGTTAGATTCAGCTTTAGTACTAGAGTTTATATTCAGACTTAGTATGGGTATTCCCCATCATTTCAGTTTTATTATGATTAAGCTTCCACATAGTGTTTGTTGTTGCAATTTATCTTTAAGTATGCTTATGATATGCCAGCAGGGTTAGCTTGGGGTCACTCCTGATCCTAGGTCCCGTGTTTGCGTCCAGGGGGTAGCCTCGAGGGGTGATAGAGGCTCCCCAAACAAATTTGGAACTGCAAATGGTATCAACGAATCGCCTGTTGGTGACCCTGATCTTCTGTATCTGCATCATGAGAGATGCAGGACAAATGGCATCAGTACATGGAATATACGAGAATGCAAGGGGAAATCTAAATCATGACATAAGCTTGAACTGGAACTGAAGAAATAACTTACCTCGTCTCAACTCAACCTCAACTCATTTCAATATAAAGCAATAATAAAGATGAAATATAAAGAAAAGCTTTTAAAATAGTAAGTAGCAACTTGGTGCATTTAAAATACAAAATAACTCAGTTTGTATGTAAAAATACAAAATAACTCTGTTTGGGAGATTCTATAACCGACAATCATGACTATGAGCTATGTGATGATACAACATCTCGCCCATACTGCCAGAACTTTCCTAGACTTTGGCGGGGGATAGGACTCCTCAATTAAGTGGATCCACTAAGCTATGCTTAAAAATAATAAGGAATCATCTAAAAAGTATGATCCTTTCTACCCACGTTGGCTACATAGTTTTTGAGGACTTTGAGTTATCTAAACTCGTCCTCATATCGTTGCTCAATACTACTCCCAAAATATAACTTAGCTTATATGTTTAAAAATATTTCCTCATCCTCAACTTTGAGATTATTACTCAAAAGATTATTCTAAAAAGAGATAGTACTCAAAACTCCTCTTAAACACCTTTGGAAATCATAGTTTCCTCCTCTTTTAAATGTAAAAATATTTACTATTGGGAATACTTAGTTCTCATATATTCATTTTGAAAATGAACTTAACTTTACTCATCCTCATACTCAAGTACTCAAGTTTTAAAAGGTTGTAAAAGATTTCTCAAAAAGACTCAAAAGAACTCTCAAGACTTAACTCTTAAGTCTACCATGATTATGAATTATTAATTCAAGGTTATGATTCATGTTATGAATGATCTTTCGATGCTTAGATTTAGTTTAGAGTGATTAGAATCCGAAAGAAGTGAAGGCATCCTTTAAAAGAACTAAGACGGGCAAAACGACATCGAAAGAGATGGGGGCAGCTCTGTCTGGTGGAACCACTAAAGAAGATTGGGCTCTATTTACCCCATTACCACCACCCTACCTATTCTTAGGGCACTCTTTTAGGAAGTGACCTGCCTGACCACACTTGAAGCAAGCAGTGGAACTATCACGGCACACTCCTGGGTAGTTCCTACCACACATAGCACATGCATGAGTCCCATTGCATCTTTGTGCCACACTACCTTGGGACTATGCAGGCCTAGCTCTAAAATTCTATGAACTGTGATTCTTAAACTCACATGTATTCCTTGGTGCAGGTGCAATAGCAGATGATAGAGCAGGTCCATTTGGCTTATAATGGAAAGATGCCCGGTTAGCATTACTCCCTTGTTGTTTCGGAATCATTACATGTAGTCTTAGCTTTCTTGTTTCAGAACTCTTCTCCATCTCAGACTATCTTCATCAACCTTGATATGTCTATATCTTCTATCAGCATAGCTGCCTTTCCCTCCTTACTTGACATAC